GTCAAACAGTAACAACATACCGGTAATCTTTGTCTTTGCTGTCATCCTTACAGGCCATGTTGGCCATCACTACAGGAAGGGAGGTATATCTGACAGAACTAAACCTCTGCGGAATCTTATTTTGTAATAACAAAAAGTGTATGCTACTTTTGTAGCCTACGTGATTGAAAGGTACAGAAAGGTACACTGCATAATGCACCTTTTTGCTTTTAAAGCAATCTTTGTAGAATGGAACTCTATGGAACTAATGTACATGTATGTACCGATGTACAACCAAATCCTTTGTTCTTACCGGAACATGTGACTCCGTCCCCGGTGTACCCTACGTTACAGGTGCAGGTAAAACTGCCGTCTGTGTCGGTACAAATTGCATCATTGTGGCAATTGTCCGTGTTAGTTGCACATTCGTCGATATCTGTTGAGACAAACCGCAAAAAGTAGTTTTCGTCTAACTGTTCGCTACAAACAAAAAGGCACACATTTTGCGTCCGTATTTTCGGCGCCGAAAGAGTGTCTTATCGTTTATCGTACCGAAATACACGTAGAAACTTAGAATCTCTGCACTATACATATTTAGTTCAATGTTATTGTGATGTACGATATTGGAACTCCCTTTAGCGAATACATGCACTATAGCAGTATAATGTTATAAATAATACAACCAAATATTTTGCCCTTACTGGTACAGATGGTTCCGTTCCCAGAGTAACCTTCGTTGCAATAACAGGTGAAACTGCCGTCTGTGTTCGTGCAAGTTGCGTTAGCGTGGCAGTTGTGCAGGGTGGCATATGCGCATTCGTCGACATCTGTAGAAACAAACGGAATCTAGCTTAATGACCCCATACATTCGCCAAATGACATTAACTTTAAGTTTAAGACTGGCGAATTATACATATGACATATGTATAATATGAAACGGTTTCATATTGAATGCGCAAATAAGATCCTCGTTTTATGAATTATATAAGTTTATCATATTCTCTACCCAATGACAGTCTTCTCTAAGAAAGATATTTTAGCATTGCCTCATAGATTATGCAACTAAGGTCTTGATTTGAATAGGTTATGTTTAATAATGATCATCTTTACTTAACTTCCAAATGCCGCACGTATAAAATTCCCCGCAGTTTGCGTCTTGGTGCGTTACAGTTAGATGTCAGTCCGGAATCCAGGATAGATAGATATGTGTATTTTCTTAGAATTAACCAGATGCCGACAAGTTGGAAAATTAAAGACCTAAGTGGATACGGTGGATAGAAAGCAGGTACATGTACATGTACATGATGTGTGTCCTACCTATCTGGCACATGTTGCCCTCCCACCCCGCGGCACATCCGCCAAAGGAACACACGCCGGTCCACCTGCTGCACGCATAGAGAAAGGTGCAGTGGCACGTCCGTAGGCAGCCCGAACCATAGGTGCCGTACTGACATTCTACAAAATAGAAAACACGACAGCTTGGCAATTGGTGATTCAAATGAAAGCTAATATCGCCGTATCTAGTATAGCTGGTGTATCAGTACCTATCCCGTTCAAAGCTCCGGTTTGCTCCTCTAATGTATATATATTCTTCTTCTTCCCTCTACGTGCTCAACCTCAATCAGCTGCGGGCTCTGGCACGGTGGGGGTAGGGGTATTATAGTTTGGATGGGGTGGTCGCTCTAACGAGTATAATATGTTGCATGTGTATGTTTGTTGTAGTCTGCAGACTGCAGACTTCTAGCTCCTCAATGGGCAGGGGCGCCACTCCTTGTCCGCCACCCGGATGCTAGGTGGCAGTGAGGTACAACTGCTCACTGTACCCTTCATAATAGTTTAGCGTAATGTAAAACGTACACGTAGAGTCGAAATATTTTCTAGCAAGTAGTTCTTTATAACGCTCTGTCAGACACAGTAACCGATGACCGTATATGTAGCATTATGATAGACGCATACCAAATAGTAACTTTATTATTTGCCATACATTGTACCCGTGACAATCGCTGTCAATAAACTTTGACTTTGACTATAACCGCTTTCATAGAATAGGAAGTTCAAAGACAAGAGCTTGACTTACGTGTGGTGCAGAACGATCCGCTGTATCCCGCTATACATCGGCAGCCTAGCGGGTCCGGGCCGCAGACGATCTTGTCCTGACAGGTAGAATGGGCACACTTGCTGATACACGAGTCTCCGAAGTAACCAGTGGGACAGCCTTACAAACAAGACAAACTTTGAGAATCTTTGAGGCAGTGAAATGCTAGAATGACCTTCGTTGTTTTAAAGATAAGATTGTCATTGTGTGGAGAATATGATCAACTAATTTGATACATGCAAATGAGTATCTTATTTGCATAATCAGTGGGTAACATTTATAGCTCACCAGTTGTATAGGTTAATATCTTTGGTGAAGCGGACCGTGGAACTCTAGCTTTTTATTTTATCTGATTGCCATCGACTGTGTAGTTTTACCCAAACAAGAATAACAATGACAATCATTTTTGCGTCATCTAAGTCCTGGTTTTCCTTCCTTTGATGAATTTGAAGTTATCTGCATACGAATATGCTTTATGATAGAAGTAAGAATCTATCAACTGATAGGCACGGTGACGTTTTGTTACCTATATCGCAGTGCAAGCCGCCGAACCCAGGCTCACAGATGCACTGTCCCGTCTCGTCATCACAGACTCCGTTATAACACTCTCCACACGTGGAGGTACAGGCTGGAGGGCCCCACTTGCCTTCAGGACACTCTACATATCATAGGAGGAAAACATGAATAAATGCTGTGCTATGTGTTTTCAGATGAAACCACCAGTCGGTCTGTTATGCTACTTTACCTTTCTTTATTTGTCACGTTTTTCGGTAGCAGTCAAGTAACCTTAATCTGACAGGAAAAAAATGTCGATATATATTGTTGATAACTTTCACATTTATGCTACACATGTTATATTTTCTCTCTAGTCCTACGGATGCAGATATGTAGCAATTTGAAACCACCCGGTAGTGTTGCGTTGACTGACCGCATTAGATTACGGAGGTGACGTTTATTGGTTCTGTGAAGACTCGTTATAGCTATCTTGCTGTCAATTGAGTAGAATTAAAGTTTATGATGTAGAAATACTGTGCAAGAAAACTCACCTCTAACGATGAGCCTCATGATGCCTTGCTTGTGGTCACTGTACGTGCCACTGTAGTAACACTCATACAGGCCTTCGTCCGACATCTGCGAGAAAGAATATAAAGGAAATAACGAAGAAACGCGAACTTTTAAGATTCTTAGCGTTGTTTTGCTCATGCTAACCCTTTTATAAAAGCAGTCATTCTCATGTACCTAAGATTAGTAGTAAACTAGAAAAGGGGTTAGCTTGGTTTCTACTATATTGACTGGCGTTTGATTGAACAAGGCAAGAAGGATAATTTGAATTTGTACAGGACTTGCAGTTCCTGTACATGTAGTCTTTCAATGACGGAATTGTTTTTAACTAAGGCTGACCTGAGCGTTCTCGATAACCAGGGTGCAATCTGCGTAGTTTCCGGAGAGCACAGAACCGTCCTTCCTCCACTCTGTAGTATTAGTACCGTTGTGCGAGTTGTACTCAAACATGGACAGCGTCGCGTTTTCGTTGATGTTCACCGTGACAGTGAACGACTCTGGGTGGAAGTAAGCTGCGATGGAAGGTGGATGCGTAAGCGCGAAAGTAAACAAGGGCCGAAAAAAAGCAAGATATCTATCACGTACTTAAACAAGCACCTCCATCAATATAATAGTAACCAAAACAGACATCATGATCATCATTCACATCAAAAGAGAATCACGTCGACCAGGAGTGTTTTAAATGAATGAATGAATGAATGAAAGACCTTTATTGTACGTTTGTGCTCTAACAAGCTAAACCACTGTATTTTTATTCCCCCGTTATACACCCCCGTTATACATATTCGAATCGTCCATGATGTCCACCGTTTGTGACGTCTCTCCGTCTCCAAGCGCTGTTTAGAACAACAACGTTCCACTGACCACATTTCCCTGAGAACACATCGTCCTGACCAGACGCCATGTGGGAAACTATCCTACGCATAATGAGCTGTTGCTCAATAATCAAAACAAATAAAGTCACACCAGCTGGAGAAGATGTAGATGATGGACCGAAGGAGTCAGATGAGCCCCAGGAGATGTCTATGGACAGGGGGAATGACGGTAAGTGACGCGGACGCCTTTTGCGGTGAACCCTCCGGATTCACCTGCCGGATTTTGATACAGTAGAAGCCTTGAATTCTTCCCCGTCTCTCAACGCGCTCACCCCGTTACCGGATGTTAACATACAAGACACTTCATGAGTGTAATACCGCCATGTTTTATGAAAGATAAGATACACAATAGCTTTTGCCATTCATGTCTTTTTACCTCAATCGGCATAATCAAGTCTATTGATACCACTCTTCTCTTGACTTTGCTGCTCCGTGACCGACTGTGCATGCCGTTTATTCTAGAACCATTCCTCGTGCAAGTCGCACAGGCTCCGCTGTCCCAAGCCAGGTCTACCAAGTCGTCGGACGACGTACTAGCCGACCTGCGACAGGCGGGAGTAATCCCCATCAAATGCCAGCCGACCTCCGTGGCCTTTGAAGTGGCGGGCGCCAAGCCAACCTCGGCGTTCGAGCCGAACAACGGGCCCCCGCGCCGCCCAGTCAGGCTGGAGAAGTTAGATCGCAAAATGGAGGAGAGGCGGGAGATGGTGAAGAAGCGAATCGCCGAAACACCCAACGAACTGCGGACGCAGTTGAATGAAGCAGACGAGCGAAGACGGGTAAGTTTATCTCCTAATATGTGTTGTAAAAATAACGTAAATAGAAGTACGTGAATGGGTGGAAAGTTAGATGGAAAGATTGGCAGACCAATGCAAGAACAAATGGAAGGAAAGTTTGAGACAAGTACTCATCTTCCACTTTAATATTCACCTAGGACATTCTCGCCAAAAGATCCCGAAAATTGGCCAACAAGGCAGCTAGGAAGGCGGCAAAGTATCCGTCAAATTCAAAGTCCACCGCTTTCTTCATCAAACCGACAATGAGCGAGTCGGATGTCATCTCTACACGCAAAAGCAAGAAGAGAATGGAGGCCCGCATGGAGAAGCGTCGGGCCCGAGTGGCGAAGAAGACCACAGTGGAGGCGCTGGAGGCACGTCAGGCAGATGCCGCGCAAAGACGCCAGGTACATACTAGAATTATTTTCTGCCAGTGAAAAACATAATGCCTACGCCCTATCGTCATTGGGTGTTAAAGACAAGCACAGAATTGTCATTACAGTGTTTATCCGCAAAACAATACACGGGATAAAAGCGTAAAGAGATTTTACATCGATATCGCACTACCAAAGGGCTGTGGCTGGCCTATGTCACATGATTGTATTCCTGTTTCTCCTCCATACAGGAGAAGGTGCGAGCCACCGTGGACAAGGCGAAGCGTTTCGGCCGCCCCGCCAGCCCCGTGTGGATGGAGCCTGCAGGTAAACTCGGCAAGGAGGAGCGCCGGGAGACGCACGAGAAGGGAGCGTAAATTGCACCACACAACAGAGACCACAACCATCGACCTGTTCACCTTTTCACTCGAACACTGAGACACTCGAAGAGCAGCAATAGAAGCTGTTGGACATTGTAAACTAAACTATGGTTTAATTCATACATGAAGTATAGGTGGTCTTTTTGAACAAACTCAAAGTTAAAGGCCATCTTTATCTTTACGCGTGACAAATCGAACAGATCATGCCAACGTTGATGGCATTCCCTAACACTGAAGCAAAAAAGGTTCAGCGCCATGCTGTTTTGTTACTATACTTTAAAAAATGAAGAAAAAAAAGGTTATCAGTTTTAAAAAGTTGTTACAAAAATGTTCCAGGGCGACATGTTCCACCCAGAATGTAATGTTTGACCAAGTTCCCAGCTGTAACGTTAACTCGATCCTTCTCATTGATGGACTTGTTTTTACGTATACTACAAAACCGCTTTTCTAAAGCAAAAAGAAATTGTTTAAAAAAATACAGAAACGCATCATGTCCCAGGGCGAAATGGTGCAGTATTGTCACCCACCTAGAAGTAATCAGGCACAGTTATTCAGTACCTGCACAAAGGCGCATAACAAACGTACGACCTACACTACATTAGTTCTAGAACACGAGTCGTTTGTCTCTGCGTTCTGCATTCATGTTGTATTTTATGTCTTATACAGCTGCTAATCAACTTGATGTTACAAATGTTTAAAAAACTATGTTTGTTGTTAGAAATCAAAACTTTGAAAATACTGTATGCAAGACAGGTGAATAAAGTTTTGAGGTTCTGAGACAACACTTCGCCCATTCATTCCTTGAATTCTTTTCGTTGTTTCTATCCTCCTTTCTCTCCTGCTTTAATGCAGGCTGGGAGGTCTGTGTGGGTAGTGAATGTACGGATTCACAAGGACGCATAGCGGCTGTCGATGGAACTACACCCCGGCAGAGGTCACAGACACGTTTTATATATCAAGTTCAATCGTATACAACAGAAAAAAAGCAGAGATATCGAAGGGACGGCGAGAAAAGATACGTTATAATATGTTATCGTCAGAAGCCTCAGACTGTAACCTCGTCCGTTTATAGCATAGAACGACCTGGCAGAAATTTACCAAATTTGAACGTCGAACGTGTGTATTTATGGCTTCACCACACCACGAAGTGGTGTGGTGAAACCATATTGCTTTTTCTGATGTTTCTCCTCCTTCTTCTTCTTCTTCTTCTCCTCCTGCCATATCTTTAAATGGATTCAGCTTCTTCATTTTGGGGCCTAAGGATCTGAAATTTGGTATGGAGGTACAGTGGGCAAATACCCTTAGGCGTTTTTTAAATTTTTGTGATACAGGCTTTTAGAATAGTTTTATTTGAGTTTTTTGGCTGTATTATAGCAAATGTATTACTGTGTCAGTGGGCAGTGTTAACCACATTTGGCATGAGTCATCACAATGGAATGCAGGGCATCAACCAATAGGCATGCAGCTTTCCTCTCTTCTTCTTGCTGATTGGCTGTTGGGATTTAACTTGATTAACACCTGCACAGACCATTTCCACCTGCACAGAGAATTTCTTGCTGATTGGCTGTTGGGATTTAACTTGATTAACACCTGCACAGACCATTTCCATACTGACAGTATGTCTGTATTCAAGTGTTTTGGTAGGTATTTCAAGCTTTCCTGCTCCAGCATTGGAATGCGGGGCATGAACGTATTTTTTTTTGAAAATCAACAGTTTGCATTATGCAATTAAAAAATCCTAACCAATAATGTAGGGAATAGCTAGCCAACTGTTGTAGTCTTAGTTGTATGTTACTTCATATTATAGTTATATCAATGTAAAGCATTGTTTTCCCTTGTGTTTCTCATTCTTTCCCTGCCATGTCGTAAAATGTGGTGAAGCCATCGCTGTATTTGCTCCAAAGCAAATATTGGCCTTTCTAGTTGTTGACTGAATTTATTGCTATCAAGTCCCGTATTATACCTTCTCGTGGATATCACACCCCCGTTATACATATGCATGTTCGAATCGTCCACGATGTCCACCGTTTGTGACGTCTCTCCGTCTCCAAGCACTGTTTGGAACAACAACGTTCCACTGACCACATTTCCCTGAGAAACATCGTCCTGACCAGACGCCATGTGGGAAACTATCCTACGCATAATGAGCTGTTGCTCAATAATCAAAACAAATAAAGTCACACCAGCTGGAGGAGATGTAGATGATGGACCGAAGGAGTCAGATGAGCCCCAGGAGATGTCTATGGACAGGGAGAATGACGGTAAGTGACGCGGACGCCTTTTGCGGTCGGATTCTGATACAGTAGAAGCCTTGAATTCTTCACCGCCTCTCAACGCGCTCACCCCGTTACCGGATGTTAACATACAAGACACTTCATGAGTGTAATACCGCCATGTTTTTATGAAAGATAAGATACACAATAGCTTTTGCCATTCATGTCTTTTTACCTCAATCGGCATAATCAAGTCTATTGATACCACTCTTCTCTTGACTTTGCTTCTCCATGACCGACTGTGCATGCCGTTTATTCCAGAACCATTCCTCATGCAAGTCGTGCAGGCTCCGCTGTCCCAAGCCAGGTCTACCAAGTCGTCGGACGACGTACTAGCCGACCTGCGACAGGCGGGAGTGATTCCGATTCCTCCGTGGCCTTTGAGGTGGCAGGCGCCAAGCCAACCTCGGCGTTCGAGCCGAACAGCGGGCCCCCGCGCCGCCCAGTCAGGCTGGAGAAGTTAGATCGCAAAATGGAGGAGAGGCGGGAGATGGTGAAGAAGCGGATCGCCGAAACACCCAACGAACTGCGGACGCAGTTGAATGAAGCAGACGAGCGGAGACGGGTAAGTTTGTCTTCTTATATGTGTTGTAAAAATAACGTAAATAGAAGTATGTGAATGGGGGGAAAGTTAGATGGAAAGATTGACAGTTCAATGCAAGAACAAAAGGAAAGTATGAGACGAGTACTCATCTTTCCCTTTAATATTCACATAGGACATTCTCGCCAAAAGATCCCGAAAATTGGCCAACAAGGCAGCTAGGAAGGCGGCAAAGAATCCGTCAAATTCAAAGTCCACCGCTTTCTTCATCAAACCGACAATGAGCGAGTCGGATGTGATAGCTACACGCGAGAGCAAGAAGAGGAGGGCTATGGAGGCCCGCATGGAGAAGCGTCGGGCCCGAGTGGCGAAGAAGACCACAGTGGAGGCGCTGGAGGCACGTCAGGCAGATGCCGCTGAGAGACGCCAGGTACATAATACCTTCTGCTACCTGCGAAAGAAACAACCCCTATTGTCCTTGTTATACACAAATACAGAACTGACATTACAGTGTTTATCCGCAAATCGTTAACTTAATCATATTACATATACAGGATAAAAGCGTAAAGAGATGTTCACAATTTTACATCGATATGGCACTACCAAAGGGATGTGGCTGGCCTATGTCACATGATTGTATTCCTGTTTCTCCTACATACAGGAGAAGGTGCGAGCCACCGTGGAC